GTTTAGGCAGGTACATATAGGTGTCAGTTCTCTTGTCACGGAAGCGCTTCCACCTGTCACTTAATTACGGTATATACATGTAGACTCACTTCATTTCCTACGTCGAAATAGGTAAGTTGTATAATAAAAATTGGTATGGTTTTGTTTATTTTTTTTATTTAGTTTTTGTTTTTACACCTTCTAAATGCAGTAGTCAAATATGAATGGCAAACATCTATATTATAATATATAATTATCATATGATGAATTGAATGGAGCATGTTCATGTAAAATAACTGTAATTTAACTTGTTGACACATCAGAGAAACAAATAAATAAACTTGCGCACATAGACAAAATTTATGTTTCCGTTATTGATAGAAAGGATTGACTTACCTGTAATAATGATGCTCCTATTTTTTATTTATAATTTATTTTTGCACACATACCTACTGCTTTATGTTTCTATAATTATCAAAACAAAGTTAATAAAGGTCTTGCTTTTGTGACTCTGACTGTGTAAAGGAATTATAAATCGACAAATTAAAGAAAAAAAATAACGAATGAATAGTAGATGGATTATTTCATGTCCAAAAATAGAATTTGACTTTTGATTTATGCTCTCTGCTTGGTCACAGTACTTTATTTATTTATTATTTATTTATTTATTTTCTTAAACAAATACCCTAAACCCTTGAAAATAAGCCGCGGCTTATTTTAAGTTTTGGTAAGAAAGTGGGGGCTTATTTTCAAAACTGTCTTATTTTCAAATCGCGGCTTATTATCAAAACAAAAAATCGGTAAGCGACGAGAGCATAATCACGGCTTACTATCAAAACAAAAAATAAATAATCGATCGGTTGTGAACACAGGCACTTGTTTTGGTAATAAATTTTTAACCCATAGTATAATAATAACACAAGGTATCTAACTCCGATTTACACGGAGTACCCCCCTCCCCCAGAATCGCACTCATATACACTTCAGAGGAAATACACTGACAAACTGTTTATACCTATGTTTTCTACGATAATTTATCTACACAACCATATATGGCATGCTTGTCTTTATTTTCTTTAGTCTCCGTAAACAGCGTCAAAACTCTGCTCGTCGAGTGGAAAAGTCGAATTCAACCATGAAATGGTATGTGCTAATCCCGCACAGAGATTTTGATTGGCTAAAAATCTGTTTCTAAAATTACATCGGATAAACATACGTAATGTTTTCAGGGAAAATCAGACGTAAACAAGTTCTATTTACTCATGCAATATTTAAACACTGGAATTGAATTTTTAAACCCACTCATTTTTTAATTTTGTTATCTGTGCGGGATTAGCACATACCATTTCATGGTTGAATTCGACTTTTCCACACGGCGAGCAAAGTTTTGACGCTGTTTACGGAGACTAAAGAAAATAAAGACAAGCATGCCATATATGATTGTGTAGATAAATTATCGTAGAAAACATAGGTATAAACAGTTTGTCAGTGTATTTCCCCTGAAAGTGTAAATGAGTGCGATTCTGGGGGAGGGGGGTACTCCATGTAAATCGGAGTTAGATACCTTGTGTTACTATTATACTATGGGTTAAAAATTTATTACCGAAACAAGTGCCTGTGGTTGTGAACTACAACATTTGGCCGAATATGATAGGCACGGCTATCATTTGGACATACTGTAGTATAAGCCAATTTCTTGTTGTTTACCGCTATATTTAAAACCTTAGTAAATTATTGTTAGAACGTAAACTTGTTGAAAATGTTAGATTTAACTATCTGTTGATAGTTAAATAATATCGGAAAGCGAGTTAAAATTAATTTTAGCTGCATATTCCAGCCGCCAATTAACGATGTTATTTATAGACGTTTACACATTCCTCTGTCACGTGCTTGTGTGATCACATGTACGTGTATATGCGTAGTGCCAAGTATCAAATCAGTCAGACACTCGGTTTAAAAAAAAGGTAATTTTATAATAAAATATAATGAAACTAAATTTATTTTGATTTTAAATAACTCAGTGAAAATTCATTTCAATTTTCAATGTAAACACCCTTGTATACGTCCCAATTAAAGCCATTGTTGTGATTATCTGAACACCGCTATTATCAATGGCTTTGATTTTTTTTATTGATATAATTGAGGGGCCAATTTATAACCTTCGTACATTATAGTCATTTAAAAAAGGAAATATCAAGTCTGTTCAAACTTAATTGTTACAATAACTCGAGCTCTGCTGGGAATAAGATATATATGTGAAGATTACTGCGATGTACAAAGTCATGATTACCGTTGCTAAATAAAGATTTAAGTCAATCTGTTCAAACTGAAATTCAACAGTTTCTCGTGCTTTGTTGAAATATAATTATTTTTTCGAGGATACAGAAAACATGTAATGAATTTCAAGATTTCCGTTGGCTAAAAAGAAAAAAATAATGCAATAATATTTCGTACTTTGTTGAATAAAATCATGTCATGGAATGTTTATAATAAAATAATTAAAATAACACTGTGGACAATATCTTGCATGTATAGAAAAAAAGAAACACTTTTTAGTTTAAAATTTTTTCTAAATGGCATTGTCATGACCGGCTTATTTTCAAAACAGGCTTATTTTCGAGTAATTTTTAATGCAAGAAATAGGTGGCTTATTTTCAAAACCGGCTTATTATTAAATCCGGCTAATTTTCAAGGTTTTAGTGTGTACCAGAGTAAGAGTATTAATTTGTGTTTCTGTTCAACAGTTAAATTAATCCTTAATAAATTAACAAAACGAAAAATGAACTCGGGATACCTCGGGTGTTTCTTCTCAAGGTAAAGATAAAAAGCGAGGGTTTCTGAATGCACACGATAAACGCAAAACACGATACACGATAGAACCTGATAAACGATCTTCACGATAAACGCAAAACCTGATGAACGGAAAACATGATAGAAAACGCAAAACCTGATAAACGGAAAACACGATACGATAGGATACACGCACGATACGATAGGATACACGCACGATACGATAGGATAAACGCACGATAGGACACAATAGAATTGTAAAGAATAACGATGTGGGTACTGTAACTCAGTATAAATATGTATAGAAAACGTAAATTTTTGATGACTGATAGCTTGTAAAGTAATTTTTGACAGTCAAATAATTTTAATCAATTTCTTCTAGTCAATTTGCAAATAAAATTCGTAAAATATGTGACTAGATTTAGAAGAAGAAAGCATAAAACAACGTTGAATTTGTTTCCTTCCATCAAAATGTATCGTATCGAAAATAACCGAACCGAGACAAAATTATACAATACGTAATGAACCGTGCAGGAGGTGTATCGTTTCACCCCTAGATAATTATCTAATAGTATTTCTTCTTTCTTTTTTTTAAATATTCTTAAAATGATTCAATTTGCATTTATAAAGTCTACCTGTCGGGAAGAAGGAGAGGTTGCATAATTAACGAAATTCCAAATAGGCTTTTTAAGGATTTATCATTAATCAAAATGGAGGCACCAAATTGATGAACATATGATTTTGTGGATTGACTCACCAACGAAATCCATGGAAATTGGTGTTCCATGAATAATGATAAAACCGCTGTAACGAGATTCTTTATGTATTCATAAAGAACATTGTGAAAAAGTCTACTGGATTCATGTCTCCTTAAAACAGAGATTTCATTATAAGCAACTTGAATAGGGGTGGGAGGATACACGGGTCTTGCGATACAATATGTATCTCCATACATATGATACATGTATCTCAATATTATGATAAATTGGAAAACTATAAAAAATAAGTATTTATTTGTCTTCTTAACAATATATCAACAAAATATATATCAAATTACATGTACTTTGAAATTAATACTTGTAGTTCATCAGTTTCATTGACTAAAATTTCACAAAAACAATATTACATCTACGTATTGCTTAATATTTCTATAAACAAGCTTAGTTTTCAAATATTTGTGAAGTTCATCAATATCACTGACTAAAAAATTCATCAAAAACAATATCACATATACATAATTATTAATTGCTAAAAGTCTATAACCAAGTTAAATTGAGTTTACAAAAAAATTAATCCACTTCAAATTTTTAAAAAATGAAAAATAGAGAATCCATGCTTTGTTGTGAGCTGTTAGTGCCATATGGGCACAAATAAATAATATCCCCTCTTGTTGAAATGACACATTCTATATACAACACGCTTAACAGACTCAACTCTTCTTGTCCCATCTTCCGAGGATGCTAAAATTGGAAAATGTTACCCCCATATATACAACTTATTTGTGCTCAAAAGCGTTATCAATATCATCTCTTCACTTTGTAGAGTTTGTTAACACGTCACCATTTTTTCCCAAACTACTTTCATTTTCAATTTTGTTATAGTTCGTTTGTGTATTGTTTCCTACCGATATTTCGATGCATGTATCGTAAACTATCTTGGCAGAAAATATTGGTGTGTATCTGTATATTATCCGACCTCTATTCTTCATAACTGAGTTTTATTGTATAATTTGCAACTACTTTTATTTGTGATTTGGAAAACTGCTACTAAAAACTTTCACAATTGAAGGAATATTCTTCATAAATACACAACTAAATAAATGATTCTCATAAAAAATGTTTGCTAGTAAAAGCAGGTTGCAAAACTTGCCTATATTTCTTTAATTTACATTAATTTTCGTGCTTGAGGAAATATTCTACATATGTTCACAACTATATATAAATGATTTGCAGCTAGAAATATTAGCTAGTTACGGAAGCAAAATTAATTGATCTCTCTTGCACAGGAATAAAAGATGGTTTACAATAATTGTAAATTGTTTTTACAGGAAACACTGAAATAAAGGATTTCTTGTTTATATGGAAGTTTTTTTTCTCTCTTTCCCATCAAGTAATTTATATATTTAAGAATTATTGACACATAGGTATAAAACAATTTAAATCAACCATGGAGATATTCTACAACCATTTTTCCTTTGGTAATTAAATTCATCTTTTCTTTTTCAATTGCAGCTATCTTGAAAAGAAACGACTTGTTTTTCCAAGATTCTTTTTTGTATCTGATCCAGCTTTATTAGAAATCCTTGGTCAAGCTAGTGATTCTCACACCATTCAGGTACTGTACAAGGGTTGTTCGGAAAGTTCGTGGACCACCGTCATAACTTTTTTATTTTACGTCATATTATATCCAAATTTGGAAGAAATATTTCAACAGTAAATTCAAATGTTGTGTATTAAAATTTTTAAAATATCTTTGTTTATTTCAAACTTATTTAGACTTACAAAATGTGAAAATTGGATCATGGAGCAGGTCAAAATTTTGTCCTTTACAATCAAGACACGAAATAATTTCTGAAGTCATATCTTCTGTAAAATGACACAAAAATGGAAAAATTCTACACCTTTTACTTGAGAATTGCTTCATCGTTTCCGATTCCAAATTATGACTTAATATTTTGCTTCATTGAAAAGAAATCAGTTTCAGAAGATAGGTAGTCCTCACTGAAAAAGGCAAACAAGATGACGTCGTAGAACGTCACGGAGCAGCAGTAAACCATGATACAATTTTGTGTTTTACTCTGGAAAACTCCAGAAAAAAACTCTAACAAGAGGCCCACGGGCCTTATAGGTCACCTGAGTATCATGCAACAACTTCGCCACATTGGATTCATGTTTTAAACCAGAGGCCATGAAATTTACAATTTCGAAAGAGGCACACTTGCTCATCATAATTTTACATTTAGTAAGCTTACTTAATACCCAGAAAGAGAGCAGAGGATTATCAAAGAATTAATGCATTTTCACTATGTAATCATTAGAGCCCTGTCCTAACACCAGAACCATGATGCAGGGGCCATAAAATTAACAATTTTGGAAGAGGCATCCTTACATATCATAACAATACTCTTAGTTCATCAGCTTAATACCCAGGAGAAAAGAAGAAGATTGTCAAAGAATTATTGCATTTTTACTATGTAATCATTAGAGCCCCACCCTAACACCAGAACCCCTGACCCAGGGGCCATGAAATTCATAATTTTGGAAGAGGCACCTTTACTCATCATAACTATGCATCAGTTTGTTTGTTAAATACCCAGGATCAAAGAAAAAGATTTTTAAAGAAATAATGCATTATCACTATATATTCAACAGAGCCCCACCCTAACACCAGAACCCTGACCTAGGGGCCGTGAATTTCACAATTTTGGAACAGGCACCCTTACATATCATAACTATACTCTTAGTTCATCGGCTTATTACCCAGGAGAAAAGGAGAAGATTGTCAAAGAATTATTGCATTTTTACTATGTAATCATTAGAGCCCCGCCCTAAAACAGAACCCCTGACCAGGGGCCATGAAATTCACAACATAGGAATAGGCACCCTTATCCATCATAACTATGCCTTCAGTTTGTTTGCCCTGGATCAGAGAAGATTTTTAAAAGAAATAATGCATTTTCACTATACATGTATATTCAACAGAACGCTGCCCTAACACCAGAACCCCTGACCCTGGAGCCATGAAATTCACAATTTTGGAAGAGGCACCTTTCATCATCATAACTATGTATTTATTTTGTTTTCATAATATCCAAGAGCACAGAAGAAGCTTTTTAAAGAAATAATACATTATCACTATATATTCAACAGAGCCCCACCCTAACACCAGAACCCCTGACCCTTGGGCCATGAAATTCACAATTTTGGAAGAGGCTCTTTTTCTCATCATAACTATGTACTTAGTTCATCGGCTTAATACCCAGGAGCAGAGGAGAAGATTTTTGAATAATTAATGCATTTTCACTATATAATCATTAGATACCCGCCCTAACACCAGAACCCCTGACCCTGGGGCCATGAAATTCACAATTTTAGAAGAGACACCTTTCCTCATCATAACTATGCATATTGTTTGTTTCCTAAATACCCAAGAGCAGAGGAGAAGATTTTTTAAGAATAATGCTTTTCACTACATATTCAACAGAGCCCCACCCTAGCACCAGAACCCCTGACCCTGGGGCCATAAATTTCACAATTTAGGTAGAGGGCTCAATGCTTATTACATTCATGCCAACAGTTTGCCTGCTTGATGCCCAGGAGTAAAGAAGAAGATTTTTAAAGATTGCATTAATTCTGATGGTTTTAGCCCCACCCCTCAGGCCCCAGGGGGGTAGGGGTCATGAATTTCACAATTTTTACTCCCCTTCACATATAGATGCTATGTGCCAAATTTGGTTGAATTTGGTTCAGTGGTTCCAGAGAAGAAGCTGAAAATGTTCAAATGTTGACGCACGACGCACGCCGACGGACGAAAACAGATAGCAATAGGTCACCTGAGTAAACTCAGGTGACCTAAAAATGCGGGAGGAAGTAGGAAACATGTCAAAAGCGAGTCATGCATGTGTGTGAACATGGTACAAGCGGTATTTGAATGATAGACTACTCTGCTCAGACGATGGTGATCTGTAAGAAAACGGATTATCTGTAAAAATCTTATCAGAAACATTGAAAGTTCGTAATGTCATGCTAAGAGTTTGGCGCTTCACAGATGCTGATCTTGTGAAAGCACACTTATGCAGTGAAAAAAATATAACATTGACAAACAAAATGATGCTACTGGAACAATTGTTAGCAAAATAGATTCAAGTGAAAGAGAAACGTTTTTAATGAGTGCCCTGGTATTGGGCAGTACTGTGTGAAATGTATAGGGATAGTATTTTCGAGAACCTCATATGGGTATGTTTTAGATGTTACAATGTTGATGAGTTTGCTCCGTGGCTACAAAACGTGTTGATTTGAAAATTAAATAACATAAATTCTATTACATCACGTGGAATGAAACTTCACACTTTAACAAAATAAATATTTTTACACATGATAATGTGATCATTTTAAATTTCTTGAAAATAGTATAAAGAAGATTGGCATAGTCCACGAACTTTCCGAACAACCATCATATTTCTGTAAATTAAGTCTCTGCATATATTGGTTTTGACACTGTGTTCTGTTTGTCTGTCTGTCTGGAAAGTCCTGCATGCAACGTAGTAATACTATGTTAGCTAAACATGATCTTTTATTTTTATGACCTTCAACCTTAACCTTAAATCAAAATTATAATCCATTTTCAAGTGATAGAAAATAGCTTAAAATCATCAAACTTTGTCAGTTGATGCATCTTGAGTCTTTGGAGTGTATCAACTAAAAAGTAGGTCACTGTGATCTACTTTTGCAATTCCATAGCTTAATTTGAATATTTCAGAACGTAATTGGTTTGGAATTATCAAACTTTGTCAGTTGATGCATCTTTGGTACTTGGAGTGTCAACCAAAAAGTAGGTCACAGTGACCTACTTATGGAATTTGATGGCTTTTTCAGTTACTAATTGGCTTAGAATCATCAAACGTTGTCAGTTGATAAATTTTGGGTCCTCAAAGTGTGTCAACTAAAAGGGAGATCACCGTGACCTACTTTTGGAATTTGATGGCTTTTTCAGGTACTAATTAGAATTATTAAACTTTGTCACTTGATTCAAATGTCACTGTGACCTACTTTTGCAATTTCATGGCATAATTTGAATATTTCAGGTACTAATTGGCTTGGAATTATCAATCAAACTTTGTCATTTGATGCATCTTGGGTACCCGGAGTGTGTCAACTAAAAATTAGGTCACTGTGACCTACTTTAGGAATTTGATGGCTATTTCAGATACTTATTGGCTTAGAATCATCAAACTTTGTTAGTTGATGCATCTTGAGTCCTCGGAGTGTGTCAACCAAAAGGTGGGTCACTGTGACCTACTTTTGCAACTTCATGGCTAAATTTTAAATATTTCAGATACTAATTGGCTTGGAATTATCAAACTTTGTCAATTGTTGCCATGCTGACCTACTTTTGGAATTTCAAGGCTTCATCCTTATACATAGGTTACCAAGAGATGAGATTATAGGTTCTACTATTTTGAGAAGAGTGATTCTAGGTCCTTGGGCCTCTTGTTATTGCTTGCATCATTATGGTGTTTGTCAGAATTATAATTCAATACAAATATAATAGGTGAATGACATTATGATAAACTAACACTCCCCCAAAAGAATGATTATGTTCTTTTTATGATTTAAATTCAGCTTCTGTAAATCTTTTTTTTCTCCCTGTATGATTTAAAGAAATAGTTTAATCATATGTTTTTATTTCCCAAAAATATAATTAAAAAATCTAATTGAGTTGAAAAAAGGGGGGAAAAATGAGTAAATTATTAAGTGATATAATTACTGACCTTTGATAAGACTGGGGATTGCAAGGGATATAAATCTGTAAAGAAGCTCATGTTTTGCATATTGTGCACGTGTTCACAAGTAGCAGAATTACATTGAATTTAGTACAAATTGAAAGCAAAACAAGAAAAAAAAATTTAAATTCATTAAATTGTATATTAAAAAAAACAAAATAATTAAAAAGGACCTTAATTAGACTAATTATAAGTTTTCTTGATGTGTTATTCTCTTTTTGACTGTTTGTATTTCGTCTGCACTTTATAGAGGGTATTAACTGACAATCAAATTGTATGTTTACAAATATGTATTGACAAATTAAACCTGCATAAAGATATGTCTTTTGAGGTCACCTGAGTAAACTCAGGTGACCTATTGCTATCCGTTTTCGTCCGTCGTCGTTCGTCGGTCGTAAACTTTTGAACATTTTTAGCTTCTTCTCTGGAACCACTGAACCAATTACATCCAAATTTGGTATACAGCATTTATGGGTAAAGGGGAACAAAATTTGTGAATTTCATGGTCCCTGCCCCCCCCCCCCCCCCCCCCCCCCCGGGGCCTGAGGGGTGGGGCTAAAACCACCAAAAATAATGCAATCTTTAAAAATCTTCTTCTTTACTCCTGGACATCAAGCAGTCAAACTGTTGGCATCATTGTAATAAGCATTGAGTCCTCTACCAAAATTGTGAAATTCATGGCCCCAGGGTCAGGGGTTCTGGTGTTAGGGCGGGGCTCTATAGATTATATAGTGAAAAAGCATTAATTCTTTGAAAACCTTCTTCTTTGCTCCTGCGTAATAAATAAAGGAACTAAGTACATAGTTATGATGAGCTAAAGTGCCTTTTTAAA